TTATGCCATTTTTTCAGGCAACTGAAATTGCCACCGATGATGTACCTCCCGTCGAGCAACAACGCTTAAGTAATGAAAGCGCCAACTCCACGATGTCATCGTCCTCATCCAAAAGGAAGTCCTTCCAACCACAAAAAAATGTTGAAGAATCGGAAATACCAGAGGATGATGAGGAGAAGTGTGAAGAAACCGAAGTTGTAGCCGATGAAGAACCCGTCGAGGAAACGGAAGTTCCATTGAAGTTGGATGAAAAACAAGAAACTGAAAATACGAAACAGTTCGAGGGACTTAGTGCGCTCCAATCGCAATTGAGCCAACCAAATCTGAAGTTCAATGAGATGTTTGAAACTCAAAGGAAATTGTACAGTAATTTAATCGAACAACAAAAGAAGTTCTTCCCACAACCACAGCCGGAAATTGTGAGTGTTTTAGAAGCTGTCGCGAGTTTTTAGGCAAGTTTGGTCAACGCTTATTCATTCAGATTCCGGAGAAGCCCAGAGCGCGTGATTTCTCGCAACTCGCGCAAACTTTGAAGACTGAGATTATTGATTCTTTATCGGGATCGATTGATAAAGTAAGGAATCAATGACATGTATCGATTGACGAATGGTCAAAGCAGGTTTTACGTAATCGATTTTTCAGGTCTTGAAAGAGTGGGCAGCCAGCGAAATGGCACGTCTTCAACAAGAAATGGCAGCAGCAGCTCGACCTGCTGCTGTACCACCAATGTTCAACCCTCTATTTCCAGCCCCCAATCCACTGGCTGCTCATTTTGGGATAAATCCACATTGTAAGGGACCTAGTCCTTTGATCGAATTGTCGCGTTTCTAACTTAGACAGTAGTTCTAGTGCCTCCTGCTGGGATATTTCCCACACCGCTAAATGCGTTCAATTCTTTAGCGGCGTTGAATCAAATGCGCCGTCCATTTGAGGATGATGGTCCAAAGAAAAAGAGGAGTAAGGTACGCTTTGCTTGAGCATTCATATCGCATTGGTAAAGTGTGTTTATCTCTAATTCAATCGATAATGCTCTTTTAGGTTACCGATAGTGTTCGGAAATTAAACGGTACCCCTATGGTTCGCGAAGGATCACCAAGTAGTACAAGAAGTAGTCCTATAGTGAGTTAAAATGTTAGTGATATTATTGATTGGCGTTCAACGTATGCTTTCTAGTTATCCCAATCCACTCCTTTATCCAACTACTTCCCACCGACTATGGTTGGTCATCCATTGTACGGTGGTGCAACGTTTGGAGAAAGAGAGGGAAGCCCTACGAATTCAGATGAGACTAGCGAATGTGGTGGTTATGAGGGGGGTCAAAGGTAGGTACCTTTTGTTGATACTATAGGGTAAAGTAACTTACTGCACCTAAATTTTGTAATTTAGCTCAACGCTTACGCCTGTGCACTTGAGAAAAGCTAAATTGATGTTCTTCTACACTCGTTATCCAAACTCTACCCTCCTCAAGTCGTACTTCCCAGATGTACGATTCAATAAAAACAATACTGCGCAACTAGTGAAATGGTTCAGCAATTTTAGGTAAGTTAACTTCATTGATTCTTTCCCAAAAAGACAATGCTATAAGACAAGCGAATGATAGATATTTAATGTGTTTGATGAATCTCAGTCACGATTGTATCGCGCAATGTCTTGCCATTTCCGTTCACGCCTTATTTGCTGCCAGATAGATGCCTGGGCATCCCGCTGAGCGCGATTGACATGACGATAACATGCGAGTTTCTCAGAGATTTATGAAGGTGCCAGCTGCAATGACA